CGAGCTGTAAACAGCTCTTGGCCTCCCATGAAATGAATTCCCCACTTGCTCTCAGAGCAGGATGAAAACCATCAGCACCAGCTCCTCAGCTGGATTGCCTCTGCCAAGAGCCATGCACCCCATGAGAGGGCAATGCAGGGGGTGCTCTTTGTACTCCACAGCCCCCCTGCCCTGGAGATGAGCCCTGCAAGGCCTGAGACCCCTCTGGCCAAGGCATGGGCTGGGACTGGAGCAACCAGCCAAAAGCATCACCTGGGCGCACCCCGCACAGCTCAGCTGCCCGCCTGATTGCTCACAGCGCTGGCCCCTCGCCACCCTCACAGCCAAGGACAAGCCCATGGTACATGGGAAGAGTAGCCCAGTGGCACGTTAGTGGACTGAACCAGAGGACTGAAACCCGGGAACCATTTTGATCTCCAAATCTAGGTCTCTGTTTGCTACTTGCTCTCTCTTTATCCCAAGCACTGCTTGCCCTCAAACTGATTTTTCCGGGTCCTTTAACCTGCTGCCACAATGCTGTGGTGGGTTGGTACCAGGGCTGGCAGCTGACGGGGGACGAGGCTGTGGCGGTGACTGCGGCGCCTGGACGGCGCCCAGGGGTTATCAGCAGCGGTGACTGGGGCTGAAATAGCAGGGCAGGACGGTGGGGTGAGCAGACCTCAGCCTCTTGGCATGTTTGCTTGTGCTAAACCTGTAGCATGAAAACTTTTCACAACAACACTCAGCCCCTGAAGCCTTCCTTGGCTGCATGCGCCCCGGCGGAGGGCGAGAGCCAGGTCTGGCTCGCGGGCCGGGTTGTGCAAATAAACCACGGCCGCAGGCACCGCAGCCGGGACAGCCCAAAGCCACCACTCTGGGGTGACTGCACACCAAAGCAGCAGCTCTTTCTCCCAGCAGAATCACAGGTTGCAGTGTCTGGGGGGTGACCATACCGCAGTCACACAATGCACTCACCCCAGCCCCGCTCTCGCCACCACCCAGCAGAGCCTCACCAGCAGCCCACACCCCCCACTGCAGATCCCTGGAAGGTTTCTCTTCCCAGCGGTGCAGTTCATTGCCCAGCACTTTGTCCTGGGTTTCGCCCATGCCTGGGCATTTCTCACCATGAAGATGTTCTGGAGCAGCGTGGCTGGGCACCATGGGCTGGGGATGCTGCCTGACCCCAGGGGGAGGCATGAGCACACGGCTGCCTCGAGCATGTGAGAGCTGGACCCAAACAAATCCAACCCTGGATCACCAATAATTTAGCAAACCAAAGCTCATGGCATGCAATGGGAGGACGGATTGATTTTGCAGAGCCCATTATGGTTATGGTATCTCTTGCCTCTTCGGCGATTACCCTGATACCAGCAGTACTGGGGGGATCAGTTGCTTAGCGGTCGCCCATTTTCCACGGAGTAAATGGCCAAGCACAGGGATGCCCTGCGATGGGGGTGCCCTGCCATGGGGATGCCCTGCGATGGGGGTGTCCTGTGCAGGCAGGAGGGAGCGGGGCCGGGGCCGTCCGGTGCCTCCCGGCCCGTTCCCGGGCGCAGGGCGCCCCCTAGCGGCTCCGTCCCGCCGTGCAGGGGGGCGCTGGCGGCAGCAAAGCAGCGGCTTTGGTTTTGCCACCTCCCGGTAACGTCGGGCTTGGCACCGAGAAACAGCGCCTGGCCTGGGGCTGCCCCAGGAGCCAGCGTCGGGGGGGTCTTGGTTTTACTGAGAAAGCAGGGTCACCGCCCAGGGTGCTGGGATGGCTTCACCCATGGCTATGGCCCTCCACTGAGCCCATAGGCTGTACGAAGGAGAGGTGTCATACCCCCTGCAGCCCATCAAAACCCACCACGGCTCCTCTTCTCCCCCCAGTCCCCTGCCCATGCAGCCTCACAGCCCATGAACCAGGTTCAGGAGGGATGTAGAGATGCCCCAAGCTGCTGTGCAGAAAATGGCTGAGGGCGGACACAGGGCTGGGGGTTCAGCTCATCCCAGTATAAAGGGATGCTGAAGCTGGGCTTGACGCCCTGGTTCAGTGTGTACAGTATGTGCAGGACAAGGGAAACAGGGCAGGGAGATGTTTACCAAAGGGTTTACAGGCATACCAGACCTGGGCAAGGTCCCTCCACCTCTGTGCTACAAAAAGCTGTCAGGGCTGTGGCCAAGGCTCACACCCACGCTGATCCCTGCCCGGGCATGGCTCCTCTGTGTCGGAAGCAGCAGTGATGGTGACAGGGAGGAACGAGCACTCTTTGGGTGGCTGCTGCTTTGGGCTGCAGTGCAGCAGGTACCGTGGCTGGGGCAGCACCCCTCCCAAATGTCTGAAGGTCTGAAGAGAGGAACAAAGAACTGCGTCCCGGCCAGCTGCTAAACCTGTTCAACTGAACGATGTAAAGATAAGAAAACCAGGTCACTACGGATGTGTGCGTTAGTGAGACAAAACAGCCATGGACTCTTCCCCGGCTCATAGTTCTCCAGGGAAAGTGTCCTGGCTTGATGCATGGACACGCTGCATCCAGGGCGTTTCTGTCCCCAGTGCCTTTACTGGGCTGGGTCACGCTCAGCTGTGTCCTCCAACATAACCGAGTTGTGCAGCTCCAAGGCAGAGGGGTTTCCATGTGAAATGGTGTGTCCTGCTTGAAAAAGATCAGCAGGGCACTGGCACACAGACTTCCCACAAAACCCAGAGTGTTCATGGGTGTAACACCACAGCACTATTAGTTTAAAGCTCCATTTCCACGAAGACAGAGAATCATTGCCACCTGGACCCGCTCCTGCCAGCGGCCTCGGTCCACGCACCACCATACTCCAAACATCTCCTTAAGCGATTTGCACATCTTAAAAATAAAATCCTTTATTGATAATATGAATGTTTAACATGTTTAATGCCATCAGCTATAAAAATGATTAAAGACTTCAGCTTGGTACATTTGGCTTTACAAATTTACAAGTGTTAATGAATTAATACTAGTGTTTACACTTTGCACTTCATTATACTCCATTAGCCAGTGACAAACTCTGCAACAACGTCTGCTTAGAACAGATGTGAGTTATAGGAGGAACACTTAGTTGCTTCCACACAGAATCTACATCAACAGTTAAATACTAACTCTAAATGTCTTACTGAATTAGTCGGATCCATTTTAGTATCTTGTGCTTAGTTTCTCTCAGAAGATAAGCTACTAGCAAAAATACATTCTTCTGCATACCCCTTCCCATAGTATATCTTAGAAGAAACAGTACTCAGTGCATTTCCTAATAGACTTCATCATAGTATACCTCTCTCTCTAGAGCTATCGATAAAGAAAGGGGATAATACCATGTAGGTTAATGTAAAAGCAAAGAAACACGTTAAAGCAGTGTATACAAAAGCCTCACCTTTGAATCGGAATTGATACATGGGCCAAAGTCCATCTGCCCATCAGTTTTTACAGTTACTCTCATCAAGAGGAAAAATCTGCTGTGGATACTTAAAAAGCTAAAAAAGCGATAAATGTGTTTCCCAAAGTCACTGCCCGCTCATCTCCAGGCCGCCTGTCTCCAGCTGTCAGCACACAGCCCGTTCCCCTGGATTAGGAACAGCAGCACACCACACCCCATTTAAAAGGCCCATAAAACCTCCTGTTCTCCTCCAAATACCTGTCCTGGCCATGCAGGAGGGAGCAGCGGGGTCACTTCAGACAGCGGCCACTCCAAAGCAGCGCAGACCCCAATGTCCCACTGGGGAGACTGGGGTCAGAAGGAGCCTCTTGGCCGTGCACAGCAGTGCATCCCCCGCTGCCGCAGGGACCCTTTCTGCAAGGGAGGTGGATGTGTTTGTCTCATTAAATACTGAAAAGCAACAGAGGAAAGAGTCTCGGGCAGTGGGGAGCTGTAGATGTGACACCGCTGCAGAGGGAGATGCTGGACACTGCCCCACACCGAGCGGCGAGCCCAGGTCCTAAATTCAGGCTCAGCTCAGATCCAGCACCCGATCATTAACTCAGGGCTGTGCTCTCGGCCTCCGCCACTCAGCTCTGGTGGCTTCGAGTCCCATTTCTCACCACAGTGACTCAGAAAGCCAACGTCTGTGCTCTGCTGCTGAGCAACGGGCAGCACACACAGCACAGCCAATGCCCCTGCACAGGAATCCACCGCACCTCCCCTCTTGGGCCCAAGGAACTTCACACACATCATTTACCTCAAACTTAGGCAATTCCTCACTAAGTGATTTTTTAAAATCTCAATGAACTCCTATATTTTCTTCATACTTAGGCAGAACATCAAGAATAGATAAAGATTTTCCTAATACACCGTGTATTTAATATGCATGTGTGTAAAACTGCTTACACATAAATACATATTTGATTACACGTGGCAGTAATGGGTTGGTTCCATATTTGCAGCCAAGGCAAGGCAGCGAGATCCCGCAGCTAACCAGTGAAATCCAGGTCAGCTGGATACAACTGTTACAGGGGAACTGAATTATTGCTTTTGTTTATAGAAGATCCCATGTTACTGTTGCAAAAAATCTGTATCATATGGACTAGTGATTTTTTTCAAGTAATAGCGAGATCTTTGTCAAGTAATAGTGAGATCCTTTTCTCAGAAGTTCTACACACAACAGTAGAATGCTTGAAGAGCTTGAAAATTCAAGGTGACGCACCAGAAACCAGAGTTTGACCATTTGAAGCACACGGGCATCTCCGCAGGATGTGTTTCAGGAAAGCAAAAAGAACAACGCAGACAATGAATACGGAGAGAAAAGTAAAGTAATCTGGATTGCATTACAGCTAAATTTTACCCCAAAACTTAGGTGTGCTTCCTCCAACAGCCAGGAGCAGGTCTACAGGACAACGCCTGGCTGGCTGCGGCTGTCTGGTGGTCACCTCACAGAATTCGTAGCACATTTGCTAACTCATTTTAGCAAATGGAAAGCATTAAAAACAGTGTCGGTTTCAACATTCACGACTCACAGAAGAATTTGTTTCTGCAGCTCGATGGTCCTCTCCTCACCTTTTTCAGGGAATCACATTCATATTGCAGGCTTAGTTCAGGCACTTTTTGTAAAATGTTCATCTGGAGTAAAAAGTCTGCAAAAGATATTTCTGCATAATTTAAAAGTAGCATTTCAGCCCCATTAGAGTTTGACAGGTCCCACCACGTGGTTACGGTTCTTGTTATCTCTAATGATTTGACTGTTGCCATGAGACATTTTGAGGCTACTGTATAGCTGTAGTTAAGGTTTCTTCATAAACAAAAATATTTTCCTACCTATTAAAAAGGAAAAAATATACTAAATGCTTTATACAGACAGAATCTGCTACTACGGAAATAAATAACACGGAGTGGAAAAACAGCGTCTCAGCTCTAGGATGCCCTGGAATGTCACACCGATGGATTCAGGACTAGCTGCTGGTCGGCAGCAGTATCTCCATGTCCTTGCCATTGGACACCACGGGGCTGCTGGAGCAGCCGCTCGCCACGTCCATGGGGGCACCCAGCGGGGACGCCTGGGCTTTGGAGAGCGGGGCAGGAGCAGCAGGCGACTGTGCGAGGCCAGGCTTCTTTGGAGGGATGGGTGGAGGGTTCCCTCTCTCTGCCCTAGGGATGGTTGGGGACTTAATTCCAGGAGATAACGGGCTCAGCGGGCTGGAAACCTTGCCAGGGCTTGGAGAGTGACCAGCTTCGCCCTTGGGGCTCACAGCGTTTGCCAGATTCCTATAGTCCGTGCCGAAAGGTGAGCTGTTAGGGGAGACTGGTTTAATAGGTCCCTGCTGGCTGGTGAATCTGGACAGGACCTGAGTGACGGTGTTGCGGGCCAGCTGCTTGGCTGCAGAGTTATCTGCCAGAGTTGGGGACAGATCCCGTGACGGGGGGCTCTGCAGACCGCTCGACTGATGGTCCTGCTCAGCCTGGGACTGAAACTTGTGCCGAGCGGCGTGGAAACGCTGGTTGATCCCCACCTGGTAGGATGACTGGTAACCAGGGCTGCTCGCTGAAGCTCCCACCAAGCGTTTCGTCAGGACTGGTGAGGAGCAGGGAGATGGCGTCAGCGAGGAGGCAGCTGTGCCGCTGGGGGACAGGGACACCCCAGTCGATGGCAGCTGGGACATCAGATGCACCGGAGACTCCGTTCTTACAGGAGAGCTGCCATTCTCAACAGCGCTTTCTGGGGCTGCCCCTGCAGATTTCTCCTTCTGAGCCTGGCTCTCCGCTGCGTTTCCCTGCAGCAGCTCCCCACCCGCCTGCACGTCTGCATCGCAGTGACCATTGGATTTGGCATAGGAATGAGTGGGTGTAGTGGGGCTGGGAGACGTGGTGTGCGCAGCTTTGCTGGTGCTGGCAGGGCTCGCCCGGTCTCCCTGCAGACCCTCTGTCTGGCAGGACACAGCCTTCACGGTGGGACCGTCAGTCACGACGCCTCTGGACACCACCGAGGGGCTTGGCTGCACCGGCTCGGCAGGGCCGTGCTCCTGGCAAGACGCCTCCAGCTCCTTCAGGGCTTTCTTCAGACATTCCACCTCCTCTTTGAGTGCTTTTGTACGGTTTTCTTCCCTGTTCAGCTTGGCTTTCAGCTGTTCTCTTTCAATGTCAAACTCTGAGAGCTGCTTTTCTACTTGTGCTTCCATCTGTAAACCCCGCTTCCTCTTGGACGCCAGCTCCTCTTCCAGTTTACTCACCTTACTCTTCTCTTTTTCCAATTTCAAGCTCAATTCTGCTGTCTTCTGCCCCTCTTCAGCTGCTTTGGCAGTGGCTTTCTTGCACTCCACCACAAGCATGGAAGACAGCTGCTTGTGGCGGGCCCTTTCCTCCTCCAGCTGGCTGGACAGCTTCTTCTGCTCTTTTTCAAACTTTTTCACTTGAGATTTTTCAAACTCCAGCTGGAAGATAAGAATAAAAAAGAATGTAAGGGTAGCAAAAAACCTACTGAAAGTAAATGAATATCGTGCCCCAGAAGTGATTGGGGTTGCTATGTATCTTGGAGAAACTCCCCACAGTAAAAGATGGCAGCGAGTAAGAGGTTCTTGCCCCAGGTATCTGCAGAACAGCTTTGCACAACTCAGGCTGTGCATATTAAGAATTATTACTTACTAGTGTTTGTATTGCGTATGAAATTCAATTGACCTTTAGTGAGACGTACACCCAGTCTGCCATGTGCCGACTGAACAGGCAATCAGAGCAAAGCTTCCTTCCACCCCATTTACTACTTTGTTGGTTTGCCTTTTAAAGGCATTTAAAATGCTGATGTGTTATGTATGTTTAATAGTCTACAGCGCTTGAGTAACAGAAAACAGTACCTTAAATATTTATTATCATCTCTGAATAACCCTCCCAGGAGATCTTTCACAACTTATTCTGAATTTTGAGTATGAGAGCCCTACCATTTGTATTGCAGCCCTGCTCTTGACAACTTCTCAGATTTCAGGCTGAAGCAAGATTTCAAAGCATCTGATTGCCTATTAACAACTTTCAGCACTGCTCAGCTACCAGAACACCTCCAAAGTTAAAGTTGTTTTTCATATCGAGATGATAACAGCTGGGAGCGCCTCACAGAGGAGGGCGGTCCCCACTGCTGTCAACACGGAGGTGCGGTGAGACATCGCTAGCGAGCTCCCAGGCCGTACCTGCTGGGTGAGGCGCTCCCGCTCCTTCTCCAACATGTAGGTGACATCGTCCCCCTCCGCCGTGTCCTGGGCGTGCCGCTGCCTCTCCTCCTCCAGGTCCAGGATCACCTGCAAACACACCCGCCCCGCTCACACCGATGTCCGGCACGCTTACAAGCAACCCCTCAGCCTCAGACATCCCAGCTCAACTCAAAATGCCATAAAAGCAGCTTTTGGACAAGGTATTACCTGGAATAACTTGGTATCATTTTCAGACTGTGAAAGAAGTGAGGAAAACCTCGCACTGGATGTGTGTTCATCTGATTATTAAATTGCGTGCTTTTCCTGCAGCACGGCCTGGGGAAGCTCCCGCTCTCCGTCTTCGGCTGCACGGTGCCCTCATCAGAGCCTCCTGGCAGGACCATTAACACAAAACCCAGCAGGGCGTGCGTCCAGCAGACACGGGGCACTAATTACAAGAGGATCCTTGCTATGTTCTCAGCAGTAATTTGCATACAGGCTTCTCCCCCAGTTCCTTACAGGGGATTTGAGGACCGCAGTGCAAAGTTTATTTTAAAGAACAGTAATTTGCTCTTCCACTTAAGAACAAGATGAGCTCTTGAAATGAAACTGCTTGCCATAAGGACCCAGTTAAGGAGCTCCTTCAGCTTTAACGCTGAATTACATGAATAATTGAAATTCTATTAACAAAAAAGCCAGAATACAAAACTTCCCAAGAGACTCTGCCGTATCTCACCACCAAAACTGGCTCTCCCAACACATGCTCACCATGAATTTACCACTCCAGCTGCCCACCCTAAGCACAGTGGCTGTGATGGGTAAGTCAAGCTGGTGGTTGCTTATGTGACAGTAAGGTTTCTGCAACAGAAATGCTTTGGATTATTCCCTATGAGAGAGGAACTTGCTCTCTCTCATCCCCATCAAAACAGATTACAGGAAAAGAAACTTTAACCCTCACGTTGATGAGCAACGAGACACAGGGTTCAACTTTGGACCTTTTGGTTAGAAACAGAACGTGACTACTTGTGTTTGAGACCTTTGTGCATGATCAGGAAGTGCTGATCAACACAGGAGTGACATACCTGAAAAAACACACTTGGCCCAAGCATAGGCACCAGCCCAAAGCACACCTCGATCTGACACCATACAAGACACCAGGTCATGGCACCACCTCCCAGCCTCCACTGGCGCAAGGAAAGCAAAAATCCCAGCTATGTTTTAAGATGGAAAAGCAGCATGTGGAGAGGTGAAGATACAGCGCTGCAACGCAGGGGACTGCAGGGATGCTCGAGAGCCCCTCCCAGTTGCAGATTTCAGCGAGGTACTTGTGGGCAATTGATCTCTGCCCTGACCACACAGCAGAGACAAATACTTGAATCATTGGCACTTGTTTAAATTTACTGCAGGACAAAACAAACATGGAAACATGTATTTTTAAAAGCTAACTGGTGGCACAAAGAGGACACAGTGCAGCAAGACTGGAAGCAGCAGAGCTCAGGGGTCTCTGCCTTTCAGACCCACGTGTAGCTTTATGCTCCTCCAGTAAACAACGGTGTGGAAACAACCTGTAGTAAGCAACCGCCTGACACCTGCACCAAGCACTGCACAGGTCCAAGCCAGCTCCTTTTTTTGTGTGTCCTGACAAATAACATCTTGTGTATCTTCCAAATTTTGGAATTACAATTAAATAAGCTTACCAGCTGCACCATACTGAGTGAGAAGTTTAAACAAAGGTGCAAAGTCCTTTCAGTTACCAAAACTGAAGCATTTAAGTGTTTTTGCTGGAGTTAACATAGGATCAAAATGCAACTGTTAACTTCTGCCCATCTTATTTGAAGCCAAACCTACCTTTCTGTGCCTGCTTTCCGCAGCAGCCAGTTGGGATAACATTCTTTCCTGCATATTCTTGCAATGTTTCATCACCACTTTCAAAATTGATAAGGGATTGGAGCATACTGGCTGCTTTTCACCGTGATTTCCCTCTTTCAGGGTCTCAAAATCTCTCTGCAAAGCCATTAATGGGTCACTGATGTTGTACTTCCCATAGCGCTCTTCGATGAACGTGTCTCTATGCTGGGCCTGCAATAAAAAAAAAATGCTCTTCAGCATACTTCAAATAGAAAGCTAGCTAAAGAAGGAAGGACTTCGTGGTTAATATCCCTCTTCCCCAGTTTTCCACTTGGAGATGAAGAGATGTTAACACAGCCTGATTTGAATCCTGTTATTTTAACCAAGCGGCCCAAAAAAAACCAAAACAGAAACAAAGGCGAGTCTTGCTGAAAACCACAGCATCTCCACAAGATGTTGGGGACCAACATCCTCATACCACAGCTACCTGCTGCCCGGGTCCATGGTGTGCACTCCACAGCCATGCAAAGGACAGAGGTAATATCAGCTCTGGCTCAACAAACATGTAATCATTTACTGTTGTACCAGTGAAAGAGCAGTTGTGTGGCTGGCTTGACTATGTCACCATCAAAGAATTTCATGTTGAGCAATTAGAGAGGTTTATTCTCACACCAGCCAATAAATCCGTAAATCGTTAATAAAATCCTTAATGCTCTCATCCAGACTAAACAAAGTTGAGTTTCTCAAGAAGCAAGCCGGGAACTATTCGGTTTCTTTGGGTGACGTGTAAGAATTAAGGAAACCCACACGTGCCAGGCTTTACATTTACAGCATTTGGGATCAGCCATTCCCACTGGAAATCTGTTTGTAGGTACCAACAGCCCTATCCGGCTGAATGTCCACCACGGAGTTCTACAAAACAGAGCCGCCTAAACACACAGATAGGAAAATATTATCTACATGCTTACCACCATGATATGAAACCTTGTGATGAAACCAAGAAATGCAAGCACTGATTTCAGCCCAAATGGTGATGGGCCAAATGCTGTGCGTTTGTGAGCCCCGTGACGGTGCTCAGCGTGTGACCATGGGGCACAGCAGAGCTGATGCGTGCTCCCGAAAACAAACACCTTCCCAATTCGAGGTTTAAATTCGATTCTTCAGCTCGTTATAGCCATGGTAACCAGTGCTCAGGAGATAATTCCTGTGTAGGTGATCATGTACTGCTCTGCACAGGCACATTCACAGTGAGGCTGTACAGAGACATGGGCTTTCTTCTGCACCGGCACCTACACCGCCTTTCACCAAAGTCTTCTTCCCCAGTGTGCTACTATATTTAAAACAGCTTACTTTGGAGCATACTTCAGCGTGCTCATAACTAGCAAAGCACTGTGGGACCTATAACAGAGGACAGGCTGGTGCTGCCTGGATTCTAACATGCAACCATTTGATTAGCACAAAAAACCCCTAAATAAGGTTAATTTCTTCTGTCAAAGGGAGAAATGCATGCATTACCTTGATAAACCAGACCAAAATACTTCTCTTTCCACATCTACTCTATGACCAAGCTCAACTGGGGATGTTTGTCCCATGGTACTGGTCTGGAGCTGTGTTTTAACCCTTGCAGTAAACGGAGGAACAGCTCCCACTCCCAAATACCCCTCCTTTATCAGTAATGTCCACTGGGAACGGTGGATACCTTTGATCAGAGCTAAAGATATTGTTCTAACTCCACATTTAAAAAAAAGAAGAAGAGGAAGGAAGAGATCAGCCCTGGAAATGGGAGGGCAGCCCTGGATAATGAACTGCCCTGGTTTAATGAATCACAGGAAAAACAGCAGGGACAGGGAATCTTCAGTTATTGTGAAGAGCTTTTAGAAGTGACTCAACCAAACCTCGCGGTAAGCACATAGGGAATTTCTAAGTGACTCAAGCATTAACAAGTCTGTAAATACAACCCGGGATATTCATCCCACTGGCCTTTGACAGATGAGTTGCTCTTCCTCCAGGCCCAACCACGCCGGTGCCGGTCACTCTGCACCCCAGAAACACCAGAGAAACCCCTCAGGAGGGCACCAGGGCTGTGACTGCGCAAGCAAAAGGAGGGACATTTGAAAAGTTCACTTCTGGACAACTTCTTTCTAATTAAAGCTTAAAAACCCAGATTAAGGTCACCCCCACTACCTGTAACCTCTGATATTTTGCAGCACTGAAGGTGTAACCAAAGTCGTGTTTTCCCCTGCTCCTCGCAGCGCTGGGCTCTGCTGACTGCAGTGAGGGGTTATTTCCTGTCTGGGAAAGAACAAGAAGTTCCTCTTCACTACTTGGAGCAATTCAGTGTTTTCCTGAACCAGCAGGACAAACAGATGAGACTATCACAGCGTTAATAGCTTTCTGAGGTCCAGCTTCTCCTCTTCAGTAGCCAGCGGAGCATAAACATTTAATTAAAGTTGTCTAGACTGGGACAAGTCTCAAACAGGTCATCCTGCACCACGACATCCTTTACAGAAACAGATCCAGGGCTCCGGCATTTGGGAATGCAAATACAGAATTTTTGGGCTGCTGCCTGTGACACCCCTGTGCTATGGGTCCCAACGAGCAGCCACCTCTGTCACGAAAATGCTAAATTTCTAAAATTAAGTCACAGTGCCATAATCTACACCGGTTACTTTATAGAGGCACTGAACTGCCACATACACGAGTGCTTCTCCATGGCTGATGCCCCTCACTGAGAACTCCTCAGCTCAGCTCCACTGATGCTGGGGTCCCCTATAACATCCCCAACAGCTCTGGTATTGCCCTCTCTGAACCAGGATTCAGCCTCAAAGACAGATTTTGTTCAGCTTTCAGAACAGAAGCAGCTTGGTGATGGAAAAGAAATATTCCATTAGTGAGCCCAAAGGGGAAAAACCAACCTGGATCTCAGATTTCAGAATCAACCTATTAACACACAAATCCCCAGGAAATCAAGCTCCAATAATAAGGAAATAAGGCTACAGAAAGCATTGTTAACTTAGGAGTGGGAAACCTGAGATGACGTATGTACTTCCATCAGCATCAATTGCACTTTGAAATAAGATGCAATCTTCTGCAATCGGAAGATTTTCTAATTTAGTGCCTCCACCTGTAACATCTCCAATACACAAACTTACAAATTTCCTATCAAAACATCCAAACCCCAAAAAACAGGATTCAGCAGTCCTGTAGACTATTAAACTGCCCTTCCCCAGCAGGAAAAAAGAGAACACTTCAGCTGAGGCTGCTCTTGGAAAAAGGAAGCAGCTCTGCACGTTAACGACTCTTAAAAATAAAACTCCTGACAAGCAGAGAATTGGGCGTATGCAGAGAGACACCACTCTGCAGTGGCTGGCGTTTAGCTCAAGTTTGGTATTGACCACTGCTGGTCTGTCTGCAGAGAGAGAATTCTGATTTCACGGGGCAGAAGCAGCATCTGACACCACTGAGGAGATGCCTCCTGTGCAGGCAAAGCAAAGCCTCCACTTGCTCAGGGAAAAGCCGCTGCTTCCTCGTGGGATTTTTGGGCTGCTTTGGGATGAACGTTTTCCATAATCTATCTGTGTAATCTATTTTATTTATAAAATATTTCCTTTTACTGAAACCTTGTTTATGAGACAGCATTTTCTCACTGTCTTCAGTAATCCTTACAACTTGTTTTACTGGAACATCAAATGGGGAATTTCCAAGACTTGTTTAAAGTAATTTTTTGGACACTGAGTATTTCTCTTGCCTGTAATTTTCGAGTGTAGGTTTTAACCCATGGCACAACGTAAACACACTGTTAATTAACTGCAGCTACTGCCTATGCAGGTCTCCAGGAATAATTTGCACAGAAGTTCCTCCTCTATTGCACAGTGGTATAATCTTTAAATAGCTCCTCACTGCCTTCAACTTCCGTATTAGCTTCTGTCCGCAGAGCCAGATGTTGGGAATAAAGACAAGCCAAGGTCACAGCAATCACTGTCAGAGAGAAGGGAAATGGGGGGACCGCTTGCTTTGTCCAAAAATCAATGTCAAAATGCTGGAGTGGGATTCTGAGTCTTACCTTGGCTGCAGCTCTGCAGCAATACCTAGCAGAGAGCAGCAATCAAACTGCCCAAATACAGCATCTGCCTTCATTGCCATCATTTCACCAAGCCAACAAACCAGATAAACCAGAGCTGCCCAGCTCTGCCCACGTGAGACCTGCTATCAGCTTTGGGACATGCAAGAGATATCCTTAGGAACAGTCAAGCAGCACAAACCTGCAACTTCCTTCCCTGGGAGTTTTGGTCGGTCGTGGACAGCACAAATCCCAGTATGACCAGGGCTGTGCCCAGCCCCAGCACACTGGTGACGATGGCCCGGGGACAGCACCGTGCTCACGTACTGCTCCTTGGCACCGTTACAGCAGGGAGCACAATGGCACCTAAACTGGGAGCTGGAGGCGTTCCCGCACCTCTGTGCCTTGTTCAGCACCCATACAGGCACTGCCAGGTGAACAGAAGCTCCTGCACAGGACACTGGCAGGCAGAGCTGCTTCCAGCAGGAAATAATCCAAAATTCCCCAAGTTTGCAAGAAAAGCCGTAAGAAAAGCCCCATTGCAGCAGGACAGTGCCCATGGGAACACAGCTACACCTACACTGCTTTACAAGCGAGGCAAAAGCCCACTTTGCCCTATCTGTGAAAGATTTATGATTTACTAGCATCTGCAGCAAGGTTTTACATGACTGAACTTTCTTTTTTATGTAAACAAGAGGTAACTTAGTTTTTGAAGCTGCACTGTAACCTTCAGTGTTCATTTGTCAGTGGATTTAGAAATTAATTTTGCAAAGCATCAATATTGCTTTATGGAGTAAATCACTGAGCACCAGCTCCCAGTCATCAACACAGAATAGGGAGTTTCTACTCCAGTGTAAATTGCCCGAGGCCTTGTTAACATCCAAGAACACACCAGAAAGTTGCTTCCTGTTTTCTAAAAGCGAACAGAGCTTCATCTCTGATGTATGGAAAATTCTCATTTAAAGAGCAGAGAACACAGTGCTCCAACGCAGCAATGCAGACCCATTTAAATACCGAATTGTTTCCAGTCATGGTGTGCTATTTCGGAAACCCAACCTGAGGCTGGCACATGCAATCCTCTCTACATGGGAACAAGGACGGCGAGTCCAGCCCTTTGGATTATGCAACTCTCTGACTGCATCTGGTTTTTTGGATGGCTTAAACACGATTATAGCTACAGGAAAAGGAGTACAATGAGAAGCGAGACTTAAGGTCTGCTCTGAGGAGAACATTGAGATTTATGGAGTAGACAGGAAGCTACTTTCAGGCAAAAAAAAGGAGCTTTTTTTCTTGAAGAGGTTTTAAAGTAGAGGAAGCACTGGAAAAGAATACTTTGAACACAGCAAATTTGTTCATTTAATCCTTTATAATAGTATCTCGTGTTTGGGTTGAAGTAACATTGCAATTTGGAATGGACGTCAACAGCCAGGACTGCGAATGCAGAGAGCTGTGATGGTGCCTGTCACAAACACCCGACACACCATTAAAACCAGTGCACAGGAGAATGTAAACCACAGCAAAAACAAACAGTGAAGGGCAGAAGTCAGGAAGGGAAAGTTGTGATATGGTAGGGGAGCGATCGGAGAGGACCCAACAACTGCGCTTTAAAACACAAATGTGGGAACCAGAGAAACAAACCTCAGGGGCTGCACCCTGACCCCAGCAGAGGAAGGTGGCTGCACCCAGGTAGGGTGCAAAGAGAGACACGGGAGAAGGCGGCAGGGAAGGAAGGGTGAGGCTTTGGGGAGGAGAGGAAAGGGAAGGAGCAAGTGAAGGAAGCGGTGCAGGGAAGCCAGGCTCAGGCAGAGCGAGCAGCAGGGCCGGTGCCAGCCAACAGCGGGGCTGACACCAACAGAAGAAAACTATTCTGGGCTTTGTCATCTGCACACACCGACTCCCTCTGCTCAATGCCAGATGCTACACATGTTTCTCTATGCATGCAGGAATATCAATTATTGCAGATGGTACTATAATCAAATTACGACTTTACCAATTAAGGTACTCTTGGGGTTTTTTTGGAGTTGGTTTTATTTTTCCTCTGCAAGTGCTGCTTATTTCCTCCAGCATACCAAAGGATCTGCCTCCAACACCCAGAGTTCAGCTCCGTGAGCCCCCAGCCGGACCATGCCCCCATGCTGGACCAGCCCCGCATGGTCCCACCATCAGAGGGGTTACAGCTCAGTTTGCCCCATGCAAGCCAAACTCGATGCTCTCAGAGTTTCGGTCGTTAATTCAGCCTCGGAAGCATTTTTATATGTATCAAAACATGAGGAAACAGACTAGCATGGTGGGTTTTCCTTTAATTGCAGCCACACACAATAAAACTGGTTCAGCTGGTGGAGCAGTGCAAAGCTGTTACCACAGTTACTATCAGTAAACAAAAAGCACAGCAAGGCCTGAATTTCCCTAACTGTATAGTCCAAATAAACAAAGCAAGGCTAGTTTTCTGCTTGATTCGAAGCTTTTATTGCCTTTTTCCTACTGCCTTCAGCTCCCCTCACATTCTCAAGATGAAATACTACAGCGTATCCCTTACAGAAGAAAGGGAAAATAGCACTAACCTTTGATTAGCTTGGTATTTTAAACGACATAATTACCACGTATAGGTTACAATTTTATTTCATTTCTTCTCAGTTATGAGTACTCGACAAATTATGTCAAAGGGTATTTTAACTATATTAAACTCCTCATGCAAGAGGGAACTGCAGGTTAAATTTCAACAGGGAGGATAATTGCTTTTTGCTATTGGAAGGAACACGTCAAAACCCCTTTGGAACGGAGCTGCTGCATTGCTTCCCGCCAGCCCCTCTGTGCTCCATTACACACATTGACACTGCAGCACTGAAGGGATGCTTTGGTGACACATTCTGACCCCACTGATCCTAGGACACAGGAGAAACGTGCAGGAGGAGCCAAGCCTTCCACCCCACCCATGGTTTCAACAAGGTAACAGTATTCCTCCAAAATAAAACGTCTGTTTAACTGTAAAAACAATTGACAACACACACATAAGCACCCTGACTGTTTTAGAGGAGGATCTCCCTCTGACCTCCAGAAAGCATCTGCATTTGGAGTCAAGCTGCAGAAGCTGCTGCTGGAAAACCAAGTCTCCGCAGCGCTCAGGCCTGCAAGCTGCCATTCCTCTTTTGAAATAACCGAGAGTTTAAACTTCATGAGCAGTGACAGGTCAGCTTGAAAAAGCCTTCAATATCCAACCCTGTCACAACTCATTTCTTCAAAAATCCACTCCTTCCATCACTTCTACCACTATTTTTTTCCACCTTACTGAGGATGAGTGCCAACGAAGCATCCTTCAAAAAGCAGCAGTATTACACACGGATAACACATTTTAAAAACATTTTCTAGGCTCAACATTAACACAAGGAACTGGGCACAGAGCACCACAGCCCACAGCACCTGAACAAGGGGAGCAGGAGCACAGTGCACACACCAACACCGCCACAGCCATGCTTCCCCTGCAGCAGAGCTACCCTGCAAGAAGAGGTCCCACTTGTCCCACCCCATGGGCTCTGACATGGTTGAAATGAACCTTTTCAGCTGGTGTCCACCTCACTGCAAGGTTCCACTAATGCTGGTGCCACCAAAGGGAAAGGGTTAGAAACTGTGCAACCAGGTCCACTGCTCGGCAGCAGCACCAGCTCGTCCTGGCTCAGTTCAATGCAAAGCCACAGATGCTTTTTTCTTCTCACGATGATGATTATTATTGTAACTTACTAGTTATTCTCACTAAAAGACTGATCGCTGAACCCTCCTGGCGAGAAGTTTCTGCCTGAGGAAGCCCCCTTTAGTAAAGGGGAACAGAACACCAAAGCCAGCCTGATGCCATTTCCCATTTCTCACAACAGCAGAGACACCATTCTCTATCAAAAAGGCTGACAGCACGTGTGTCGCCCCGTACCCACACTGAAACGCTTCCAGGGGCAGCTTTCAGGCAGGAATTCCAAGATGGAGAACGACAGACAGCATTTATGATCTAACATCGCTGATATTCAGATGGGATCTTGAACCAGCAATAAATCTTTACCTCTGAACTTCACCTCGGATGTGAGCGCTCTGCAGAACTCAGCACTGCTGGTGTCATTTTAGTCCCTTGTCGCGGTACTCACAACTTACCTTTAAGGCTTCTATGACAAGATCTCTGGCTTCTAATTCTCCCTCAAGAATGCTAAACAGCGTCAGTAGTTCTGGTTTGCTGAGTTTTTCCAGATTCATCCTGAAAACCTGAGAAATGGAACACAGATTACCAGGTACTCCTTTGTACAGGAAAATCAGTATTCAAAGCTATGACATAATCCCCATTAAACTTCAGCTTCCAAATTTTTGGACTGCAAATTACCCCAGGGGAGAAAGGGGAGAATCCACAAGGCGAACATTTTCTCCTTAACCCCCAAGCCCAGCTGTAGAAGATGCATTTCCCCCTTTTCCCAAGGGGTCATGGACATACGCACATGCAGATGGCGCAGGCTGAGCACGTGGGCTAACACAGCACAATTTCACCACAGAGCCGCCAAAGTGAACAGGAGAGGGAAAACCAGGGATGTTTAAAAGCCATACGACTGTAAATTGCACATCTGGATCACACAGCTGCAAACAGCACTGAAACCAGACTGAAGAGCTGCGATGAATGCAGCCCAAGCTGGGCCACCTACTCAAATATAATGGTGGAGTTAACGTTTCAGCGCTCCAAAGTGTTACCCAGGAACGCCACCATGCATTACTAATGGAACTGGTCCAAACCACTTTACAAAAAATCAATGCCACAAAAAGCACACATTTAATCCCTATTCTTTCAAACTGTTTCAATATCACCGTCATTTATTAAATATAATTTTACTGCCTACATAAGAACAAGGATCCATCATGTGAACTGCACATACAAAAGGCTTTTTCCCCCCCTGCATGTTTGCTGATACACTTCATATTGCTCAGTAATAACCCTCTTTGTTATACTATTTTGTTAACAAACAACAGCAATCATTTCACAGACTAAATCCTCGTCTCTGGTGCATGTGTACTTGACATAGTCTTGCACAACACTCAAACACTTTCCTGAGCCCAAGTCACATCCAACCTTGGCTGCTCTTTGTATCAACCAGAAAACGCTCAGAGACAGCAAACTCGGGTTTGCTGGCAAGGGACAAAGGGTTAACTTCACCTTTACCAGCTCAAACACCAACTGAACCCTAAACTGTCTGAAGTCACTGCACTTCACAACCGATTTGCATAGCTGTGCCTTGGAGAACTACACACCAATGCAAGTTCTGTCTTGTCTGCGCCAAAACAGTTTTCCAGTTGCTGGGAACAGACAGCTCTGCTACAGAGAGGAGCAGGTCACCTTCCTACAGGAAGGGAAATGGGAAATGTGCTTCGTGGCCCCTCTGCTAAGCAGGCAGGTTCCTCAACATGCAGTCACACTCCTGCTTCACGCAGTGTTTTAAGTGAAATTCCATAAAGCAGCAATGTTTCCTACAGGCTCTTCTGGCCAGGACCAGCATGGGCATGGGCTGCTTCAGGAAACCCCAGTGGCAGCGAGCCCGACTGTCTGGGCCATGGCTGTCCAAATCCATTCAACTGGACACCACTGCAGTACAGTAGCACCCTGCTACAGATCCATTAACGCATGTGCAAGAGGAACAAACACCAGTGCAGCGTGTGGCAAACCCGCTCACGTCTGTCCATTCCCAAACAGCCCGATCAGGAGCTGACACAGCAGTGTCATTCAGGAAACTCTATGTATCAACTCAAATCATGGGCCAGGGCAGTGCTGGTCACTGCTCAGCGGGAGCTGCACTTTCAGGGGAGCTGGTACCTCCACGGAGAGGTGTCCAGGATGTGACCCTGACCCTGTCCCAGCTCTGGGTACGGCTGCCGATGGCTCTGTCACCCTGGGCAGCCTGGATG